TCTGTCGGTTGTATCTTGCTATAGTGTGCTGCGCACTACGGTGACCTTCACCGAAAAAAGAAGGTACTAGTTCAGGACTGGAGTAAGTGAAATCTTGTTAAAAGAAGAACACTGATAAGGCAAACTTTCGCGCTAGAAGAACTCAAGGGTCAGGCTTATGCATGTGTTGGAAAACAGCCTGCAACACGTTCACATGTAACTGATAACCATGGCGTCCACGACACAAATTGGAGAAACATGAATTTTGTGTTCAAAAGGAGTGTATTATCTATCTAGAAGAGTCGGTATTCGCTTTTTCAGTTCTCGTGAGAGTCCGCTAGAGGCCGAGGTTTCCGCATCCGTAGGATCTCCACCACTCTCAAGGATCAAACAATATTATGGATGATGCCGGCTGAATAAGCGGCAGAGCTTGGCCGCGACTTTTCCTGGAATGTTTCATGCATATTTGGTATGCGAATAAAGAAATGCAGCAGAATTCAAGAAAGTGCCTGCCCTTAGGTTTGTAACTTTGTGTGGTTCTGCCAATTCCACTTTCTTTTCGAGCAGAGTCTGCAGGCGCGTGCTCTGTATGGGTTCCTGGGTGCCCGGAACCCCCCCCCCCCCTTTTCGCTCAAAATGCAGGGTTTTGCTTCATTTTTAGGAAAATTTTCCCAGGGGAGGCCCCCCGCAACCCCCCCCCCCCCTTGAAGGGCACCGGCGCACGCGCCTGGTCTGCGAATGTTTTGAGCAGTATCCGCCAAGCGCTGGGGGGGGGGGGGGGGATTTTATGGTTTCACATCTTAGCCATGTGACTAAATTTTATGCAGTCCGTAGAAAGTCATCATGGCATGTGGACACTGGACAGTGGAACCATCACGTGATCGGAATTGAGTGGGGTTGGAAACAGGGAGTGGTAAAATACACCCAGTTATAAAATGTACGATTCCCTGGTTGGAACCAACATGGCCGCACTTTGTGGTCACACTCTTATGATAAATGAGCAACAGCTCTATCCATAGTAGACAGTCTCCACAACGTTGCGCGCGGCTGTCTGCAGAATTGATATTGTGCGGGCAGAGTGGCAGAGGTGTCACATATTCGTTCACCGCTTCCCAGGTGCCTGCCATTCAGATGAACATACCCTCTACCCTTTTTTCTTTCTTAGAAAAAATGTCGTGACACTGGCTCGTTGTGGAAAGCTACTTGCACCGCGGTACATGTGTCTCTACTGAGTACTGCCTGCTACCCACTGTGAGCGTAAAGTGAAAAGTGTCCTACTGTCCGGCTGTAAGTCTAAACCAGGGTAAAACCGTTTAGCCAGTTTGAGCGCAGCGGTTGGATCGTCTCTTTACACCTTGCAGAGGTGCTGACACTTGTGGTTGTTCGCAAGTGAAAACACGACCATGTCATTGTTTTGCGACACTGGCACTGCCAGCCCTTATACCGACATGCTTCTGATCATGCAGCGAACACAAACCTGAGAATAAGAACTGGGGCCGCCATCTTGCGCGCTGCGGGGAATGCGTCACGGCTCTAAAGACATCCGACGGTTTGCCCGATAAGCCGAAAGCCTTTGGGAGAGTATTGTGGCTGGAAGGTCTTCAGTAGCGAGACAGGTCGATCGTCTTGTGTATAGCTTGCATGATTCAACCATCCACGCCTACCATCTCTGTGACTGTGAGATATGAAGGGAGATTGAGCCGGGTCGAGTGATGAGCTTGCACTGCACTGTTCGAATCGCGAGGGACGCTGTGCTATATTTAGCCACGGACTTTTTATTTATTTTTATTTTTTATTAATTTTTTACAAAATACATAACTAATACTTACAGGTACACTGTAGACGTGTGCACGAGAGTACATGTCATGTATATGTGGCTCATGGCCCTCAACTATGAGTGTGATGGATGGCACATGTACATGCGTGATGTGCCACTATCCGTAATGACCGTACAATCACACACGACGTGGTCGTTATGACCGTACGATCGAGTACATGTAGACCTACGTTATTGCGACACATCCTAAGTACACTGAGTCTTATTCCTAACGTTACGTTTAGCAGCAGCAGCAGCAGCAGGAGTAGTAGCCTTGCACATGATGAGATGAACATCTTGGTAATGTGTGTGCCAGCCACTAGCGACAGCCATGAGCCATCCAGGAATGCGACAGATTAGAAGGACAATCTGACTTATCATAACTAATGTCCTCCTTATATGCTCCTTAAAGACATTGTAGTAATGATCGTTGGTTTCAGGCACATTCAGCCTTATGAATTTACTTGTGGTTTGCTCAAGCCAGCTAGTAGATCTACCATGGCTGGGGGCGTTGAGCCGATGTACAGTACAATGCCATGTACTACAGTACATGCCGCGGCTACAGTAGGTAAATATCACGTTGCTGGATTGCCCATGGCACGATGCCACTCATTATTGTCTGCGACGTTGATTACCTTCACTCAGTCTTGTCTGCGGGCGGGATTACAGATTTCGAGCTTGACTGGTGAAGGAGGTTTACGGGCTGCGGTGATTTATGTGCGCGTTCGCGGGTTGAGCAAAGCTTTACGCGGAGTGCATGTACATGACTGTATATATCACAATCACATGCAGGTAGGCAAGAACTGTTGCTGCGCTAGCATGTCAGTTTATGTTTGGTTTGTTTGTTAGTCGAGCAGGTATGGCATACGGCAACTTGTCCCCAGGATCAACCGATACAAGAAGAGGAAGTCAAAAGTTCTCAAAATACATACTATACTCAGTACTCACTGTACAGAGTCTATTAATTTTCATTCTACGTATGACGCATGATGACTGAGTGGTGAGAGTTGGTCAAACTGAACCGCTTCGGTTGTGGCTGCAGGACGAGTAAAGGTAGCTAGGGCCATCCATCCCTGCATTACTCGCTTTATGGCACATTGACGGATGGAGAACATCTCCCGCGTAGATCTCTCGGCAGGCTCTGCATTACAAGGCCAGCAAGGTGTATTGGCAATCTTGCACCATCATGGCCATGCCTAGACTTACTCTGGGTGGACACTGCCTGGTGTGTCGCTCATTAACCTTGTGCAGGGGAACATCAAGCTTTGCAGACACGGCCAGTGTCGAAGGCTTCATGGCTTGTGCTTCGCGGAGTCACGATGAACCACGCTATACAACCCGTGATCATGACTGTATGGACTTTCGACGGACGGTGCGCAAGGTCTTGGAAGATCTTGTTCCCTTTGATTCAAACAATGATCCGGACTCTCTGCACAGTATCCCTATTCTCAAGTCTCATCTATGCCAGTGGCTCCAGCAGTGTAGCTGTGTAGTGGCTCCTGCAGAGCTGGAAGTACTAGTCCAGCTCTACAGGAGCCACTACAGCGACACTGCTGGAGCCACTGGCATAGATGAGACTTGAGATCAAGGATACAACGAGTCAGAATCATTGTTGGAATCAAAGGGAACAAGATCTTCCAAGACCTTGTGCACCGTCCGTCTAAAGTCCATCTTGATACAGTCATGACCACGGGCTGTTTTTTTTTTTTTTTTTACTAGAGCCACGTAAACCCGTCATGTGTGAGCCATGAATAAGGGGAGTGGTGGCGTGGTCTGGGATGCTCTGCCGACCTTGGGTCTCGGCTTCATCACAACCAGGCGCGCCAATAGCAGAGAGAGAAAGAGAGAGGGAGAGAGAGAGAGAGAGAGAGAGAGAGAGAGAGAGAGAGAGAGAGAGAGAGACAGAGAGAGACAGACAGAGAGAGAGAGAGAGAGAGAGAGAGAGAGAGAGAGAGAGAGAGAGAGAGAGAGAGAGAGAGAGACAGACAGACAGAGAGAGAGAGAGAGAGAGAGAGAGAAAGAGAGAGTTGCGTGGTTCATGTGCATGTAGACCAGCCAAACAGTGGACAGAAAGGCGATGCGGTTGTATGCTTCATGCACAACAGTGCAATCATCATCCCTCGTATCGACCGTGTATGTGTTTAGTCCAGTATCCAGATTTACTCATTTCAGTTTTCTGATGATTACTTACAATCATCAGTAGTGCGAAACTCGAAGTAAAAGCACTCTTTTCATGCTCTCATTCTTGTTGTCCCTCGTGCACACGTAATACATGTACACCTGTAACAGGATAAGTTCCTATGAATTCCGGACTTGCTTGCAGGCTCATCTCTCGTCAAGGGACGCATAGCATGTATGTTCGGAAAACTCTGCCTCGGAGAATCTTTTAAAGATATCCTACAGCATGTGAGTTTTCTTTAATACGGAGGCTCGACTGCAGACAATCAATCATCTCTCCAACACCTTCCTAACCACAATTTTCGCCCTTGGGGCTTCTACACGACACCGGCTTTAATACAAGACACAACAGTACAGTGTATAAATCTATACAAGTAGTAGAAAAGATGACAGGATTGCTTTTCTGAATGCTGTGACCCACCGCAGACCTGGATGACGTGTTCGCTGCTAAGTTTAGCACGCAGCAAAGATCATGAAGATAGCAGGGGGTATTCTGCAGCTGCACAACAGCATGGTAATCTGTTTAATAGAGCCCTTATATAGAAAATCAGCACAACACACTCTCAGCGGAATAATGCATTTTGATATACATTGTACATTGCATGTATACCACCCTCATTATGCAGGCAATCAGATTTGTATACACGTGTATGCGTAGGCGGAGTTGTCCATAGCTCGCTCCCTGTGGAGAGAGAGAGAGAGGTATCAATTACAGGGTTCCTTTTAAACTCAATTGCAATCGACATAATTCGAGGGCGAAAGACGTGAATTACTTCGAAGTACGATGCATGAACACTTCGTGGTCGGGGGCAAGTTGTGACTAATTTGATCAATGATCGTTCTCAGTAATGCTTGGAAGCGCTCAGCGTGGGTAGTGTGGGCTGTGGAGCTCACAAAAACAAACGAACCTCTATTTATCCCTCGTACCAACATAAGCGGGCCAAGTCGAATCTAAGCCAGGACGGCAGTAATGTTAGAAGACTAAGATAGGGTACATGTACACAGTTTAATATTATGCTCAGAATCT